GTTTTAAATAAAGTAAAATTCATTAAAAATGTGACCTATTCAACCCACTTTCTGATCTCAATATTTTAAGAGGCAACGTCATAGCCCTAAATCTTTAGTTAGTAACAATTAAAGGAAAGCAAAGGAACTAGACAGTAAGAAAAAGAAAAACTGTGGAATAAAACCAATGCAGTAAATCTAGTAAAAGTTGAAAGTTAATAGAGCTTAAAGAATTCACAGATATGAAATGCTGACTAAATCTAAAAGTTATTTTTAAAAGGAGTAAATTAGCAAATCCTCTGGCAAATCTAGCCAAGAGAAAACACCAATAAGAAAATCAGTCATGAGAAAATGTCAGTATATAGAATCAGAGGAAATGCTTATTTTATTTTCTTGTGTCTAAATATATATGACTTTTCAAAGAGAAATACCAATTAACAGAATTATGTCAGGTGATAATAATGTCTCAGTATGGGTTTATCAGTGGCAGCAAATAAACCACTCTGGTGGGTGATACTGATAGTGGCAGAGGCTGCCCATATGTGGGACTGGAGGTATGTGCCAGTCTCTGTTCCTTCTACTCAATTTGACTGTGAACCTAAAATTACTCTAAATAATAGAGTATATTAATAGAACAAATTCAACTCAATAAAAAAAATTATGTCAAGTGGTGAATGGAATTTTTTAAGGAATGTTTGTATAAATTTTAACTCAAAAGATTACCCAGGACAGGTTTTGTCACTGAGTTATTCCAAACTCAAGTAAAACAGAATTTTCATATTTCATGAATCATCCCATCATCACTGACTCAATGGACATGAGTTTGAGCAAACTCTGAGTGAAGGACGGGGAGCCTGGCCTGCTGCAGTCCATGGGGTCACAAAGAGTTAGGCACAACTTAGCAACTGAACGATAGCAACGATATTACTTTGCAGACATCATAAAAGAAAAAAAATATTCACTATACACTGAAAACAAAAAGTTCCTGCTAAATAGGGCCAGTATACCATTTTCTCACATGAGTAGATTAAATAGGCTAAATTGTTCCTAAAATAATTTATATATTTAAGGGAATCCCAGTCATATTGAAAGGACTTTTTTTCCTTTGCAGAGAGACAGAACAGTTTGGAATAATGTGTTTAAATTTATAAAGCTGATAAATAAATAAGAGTTGAAATGAGGTAACCATTTAGGAAAAAAAGAGATTTAGGCATCACCATTTCCCATGTGTGTTAAGGTCTACTACTTATGCAATGCAAAACTATAGTATTTAGTGTTACATTGGCTTAAGAATCACCTAACTGTGAAAGAATGGTTTAGATTATAAAATTACTGAAAGTTTTTGTTCTTTTTTTTACTGACATATGTACAACATTGATATGGTTAACACTTTACCATATATACAATTTTGCATCCTGCTTTTTGTACTTGTCCTTATATAATAAGCACACTGTTGCACGTGGTCTTTTAAAGTATTGATATTATTTTAATGACTACCTAATTTACTTATTAAGTAAATACTTCACATTTTAAATTCTTTGTCATTGACCAGTCAAGTTGTTTGCTTTCAATTTTTCAGGAAAAACATGTTCTTCTAGCCAGTCCCTTGGTAATAGAATTTTTATGAAAAGCTTAATTTGCTTTCTTACCTAATCTCTAGGTTCATATGTCCACCAGATGAATTGCTTGATGTTTATTTGACCAAAACTTGATCAGATGGAAAATCTTGTAAAGAAAAATTGATCTGAAAGGAACAAAACTTTAGAAACTGTAGTTTGTCTTGAACCTTTTACAATAAGAGAACAAGAGTCTGTCTATATGTACAAATAGTCTGACAAATGCTTTTCAGTGAAAATTATGTTACACTCATACTATTATGTTATTTCATGCTCTTATGAAAATTATTAATAAATATAAATTTGAGGAGGAAGGAAAAACCTTTTCATCCCTCATAAAATAATAAACTAAATGCAATAAAGCAATCTATCAAAAATTATAGGTTACATATTTTGGTTTAATTAGTTTGCCCTTAGGAAGAAAGGTGGTAAAATGCCTAATCATTTTTCTTTGCAACTTTGTCATACCTAATAGTAATTTATCATGACAATTGTTTTTAACATTTTTGTGTGAAAAAGAAAGAGGAAAAAGCAGATGTATGTGAAATTAGTCTAGTTGTACAACTCACTTTCAGGGCTCAATCTGTCTAGAATTTTTTCGCTCCTAAATTGTGTTCTTTTGTTCTGTCTGCGAAACCATGCAAAACTGAACCCTGCCTCCTCAAAAAAAAGTCATCTTGATTATATTTTAGTAGCTAACATTTGAAATATGAAAGGATAATTGAAATGAATGTTAATAAAAGAATTCAATATTTTTGAATTCAGTTAAACCTGCACGTATAGCGATACTGAAGCTGGGGCCGTTTTCTGGGAAGACTTGGCTTGCGATAACTTCTATAAAAGCAGAAAATCCAGCTGCATGGGTTTTTGAGATAAAAATGGATTCACACTTAGGCAAAGGGATGACAGAAGTGAGGTGCTAGTTAAATGGCATAACTGTTAAATGATGACGCTAAACCTCCGCACTCTGGCAAGAATGGCACATAGAATTCTACTGCAGAGGGCATCTCACGAATTGAATTGGAGCGTGGAGGCCTATAAAAAGCAAGTGGTATAAGAAGCAAGAGCTCAATTCTTATGTGTGCTTTTGGCTGTTGGCTGACTTTTGTTTCTCCAGTTCCCCTGAGATCATGTGCTCCACCATCCCTGAAGGAAAAACTTTACAGTATGGAATCTGTTGGCATCTCGTTAGTCCTGGGGAAATAGAACTTCTGAAGATGAAAGAGAAGCCAAGAAAGCTCCCATGGGAATCAGAATGATTGGCCATGGAGCAGTTTTATATGCTTGTGAATCTTTACAGAAAGGAACCCTCTCTGTGAACCCTTTCCGAGATTCACTGCTAGAATCTCAAAACTGAAAGACATGAGAGGCCATTCCAAGACTGCCTCACGGCTCAAGTCCCCATCAGATACTTAAAACTGCTATCAAGTACTTGAACTTCTCATTTCTAGACTAACCCATCCTATCAATGAATCTTTAATACTATAGAATTTGAAATGATACCCTCCCTGTTTCCCAAATCTTCATCAGTCTGGTCTAGATACAATCTAAATGATCTACTTCTTTATTTTTTTTTTAATTTGCCACTCTCTTTTATGTAAAACCAAGGTACATTCGCAGGATAGAGCTGTGTACACAGAGGGAGCACCAAGTTATAGGTTCCAGCCCTTAATCAGCAGCAAGAAGTTATTCTCACCAGCCCTAATCAGTTTCAGCAGAATTACCATTACTTCCTTAGAGTGATACTCTCAGATAATATCTATTTTACTATCAATAGTTCATATTTTTTAAATTTATTTTATTTATAGTATAGTGATCTACTTCTTTCTTGAATACGAGTTCCCAGTAATGAGCAGTTTCTCCAGGGACATACCCAACTTACCACCACCACCCTGCCTGCAGCTTGGTGGGACTACCTCTTCTCTCCTAGACTCTGGGCATATTTGGATTTGATAGTGCATAAGATGTGTGCTGCCATGTCTTATGCAGTAAGTATGGACATAATAGAAATATGTAAATGAGAAAGTACAAAACTCAAATGAGTTCTGCAGGCAGGCAGGGAACACAAGGGTGATGTCATCCAAAGACAGAGGGAGTAACAGAGATCAAGAGAGGAGGGTCCCTGCCATCATGCGCTTCATTTATGGCTTGAAGCGCTGTGTGGGATAAATCGAATGCTGATTTCACCTGTGGTCTGCAGTTTGCCCGCAGTATGCCTCAGGCCAGTGTTCTCGGTGGTATTTGCAGCCACAAGTGCAACATCAGACCACCTACTGTTCTCACTGCGCCAGACAACTAACACATTTGTTGTTGTTGTCGCTTAGCCTTGTCTGACTGTTTACAACCTGTTGGACAGCTCCCCTGTCCTCCAGTATTTCCTGGAGTTTGCTCACACTCATGTCCATTAAGTCAGTGATGCCAGCCGACCATCTCATCCTCTGCCGCCCCCTTCTCCTGCCCTCAGTCTTTCACAGCATCAGGAGCTTTTCCAATGAGTCAGCTCTTCGCATCAGGTGACCAAAGTATTAGAACTTCAGCTTCAGCACCAGTCCTTCCAATGAATATTCAGGTTTGATTTCTCTTAACTAATACATGGCATGCTTCAAAATAAACTCTTTTGAAAAGGAAGCAGTTCACTACTACAAAACAACCAGAAATTATTTATTTTAAATCTTTCAGGAATAAATTTTCAAATGATCCTAAACCTCTTGTGAAATTTGGATGTTGGTTGAGATCTCTTTTCTCAAAGCTGGAGAGATTATGCTTATTCCATAAATATTTATTAGCAATAATAATATTACCTTTTATTTAGCTTTCTATGTGGCAGGCCCAATGCTAAGTATTTTGTGCATATGTGTGTTGTGTGCTGTGCTGCGCTTAGTCACCCAGTCATGTCCAACTCTTTGCGACCCCATGGACTGTACCCCACCAGGCCCCTCTGTTCATGGAATTCTCCAGGCAAGAATGCTGGAGTGGGTTGCCATTCCCTTCTCCAGGGGATCTTCCTGATCCATGAATCAAACCGGGGTCTCCTGCATTGAGGGCAGATTCTTTACCAGCTGAGCTACCAGGGAAGCAGAATTAAAAGTAATTCTCCCAAAGGAACATGAAGTTGGCACTGCCCACAACTAGTGCAGTGCAAAACTTTGGTTGTTGCTCTTTCTCTTCTCATCCCTTTATGTTTTCAGTGATGAGACACGTTCTTTTCACCCGTAACTCTAGGTCTGAGGCATGACAATTTTTAGAAATTCATTAAAAAATTTGTACTGATTTGTTCTGTAACTGCCTAAAGACTAGCTGGAATGAGAAACTCAAACTGCTTTTTTTTTTTTAAGTGGTTTTTTTTTTTTTTCCTAGTTGTCATTAAAACACTTCTCATGAAAACACCCTTCTCTCATATTGTAGACAGAGGTCGGATGGAGAGTCAGACCTTCTCCACCGTAAGGGACTGCCTCGCTGCGGGGCAGGAGGAACTCATCCTGCTGCAGGAGAAAGTCAAGACTGGGAAACTCTCTGTGGATGAAGCCCTGGAGAAGTTTAAACACTGGCAGATGGGAAAGACTGGCCTGGAGCTAATTCAGCGGGTAATACAGACTCCACTCTACTGTGGCATGCTCCCTCCCTTGCAGAGTCCTTGCCTCTTTGTAAATATTTAGTCTTAACAAAAAATACAGGTAACTGTTCTTTCTTTCATTTTTAACTAACCACAAAAAGGAGGCTTTAAATTACCGATTAAAAGTTTAACAATATCCAGGTTTCATGTTTACAAACCACTGATGAACTCAGTGCTAAGACTGAGTGTATCATAGCTAATATCTAATCAACGTATAAGGCTGCCCTTGGTAGAGTGAATGTTTTATGAATCTCATTGCTGAAATTAAGATGAAGCGTCTTTACACTAACGTGCTTAGAATTCTGAAGAATTTATTATTTAGACCAGACTTAAAGGGAACAAGAAAATGATTAAAATCATATCAGACAATAGTGAAGTCACCCAGTCGTGTCCGACTCTTTGCGACCCCATGGACTGTATAGCCTACTAGGCTCTTCAGTCCGTGGAATTTTCCAGGCAAGAGTACTGGAGTGGGTTGCCATTTCCTTCTTCAGGGGATCTTCCCAACCCAGGGATCAAACCCGGGTCTCCCGCACTGCGGGCAAACGCTTTACCGTCTGAGCCGTCAGGGAAGCCAACAGTCAGACAATACTCCTGAACAAATTTAATGTTTTATATTCCCCTTTACCTTTGGAAAAATAAATACATATGTAAGAATTTGCATATGTATAAATATATACATGTATAAATATATATCATGATTTGCATATAGATCAGTCAGGATTTACAAGGAAATTATGCCAAGAGTATTAAATTCAGATAAGCCTGTCTTCTATAAAAATAATTTAGGGATTGGAGTAAGTGGTTCCAGAGGAGAATGAAAACAAAATATACTAGACATGTAATATAATATACAGCCCATGACAGTCCTCAGTGAGGGCATTCAAGACTGTATTCTATCTATCCAACAGGCTATACCACTCACAAAATATTTCACCATTTTCTTCTCCTCATATAAAGCCCCCAGGAGCTCAGCAGCCAGCTCTCCAGCAGCCATTTCATTAGCTCCGTTAAGCCCAAGTATTAATAATCATTAATAGCCTAATATGCTACCTTTCCCAAGGGATCATTTTTCCTTTAAAATTAGCACTTAAGAAGACATTTTTTAAACAACAGAGAAATGAATCAGAATAGTGATTCAAGCAATATGGCGTATAGACAGGAGATTGTTTAGGTAAGGGAACTTCCCCAATACATGTGTGGTCACACACCTTGTTAGAAGAAGTCTCCTGTCTCGCAGGATAGCTCTTGTTGCGGTTTGGTGGCTGGACCTGGTCAAGCTTTTGCAGTGTGAAGCAAGGGCAGTTGTTTTGCCAAACAAATGTTAGGAATGCTAATTGTGGAGTTCCGTGATGATGGTCGTTCATGGTCAGAACTACAGCATTGCTCCTCAGTCCACACTGTTGCCATCACCAGCAAGCATCCCTCTTATCCTGAAGTGGGTAAAGTGTGCCCAAGTACTGAACTGCAGACCACTTTCCTGATAATGCTAGAAAATAAGTTTATATACATTTTGTTAAGTCAATTGTACTTTAGCCTCCTTAGGCCTTTCTGTAATTAAGTTTACAATTTAAAGTGATCCAATGTAAATACCTTCTTTTAATGATTTCACTAGTTGCTTTATCAAACCCTTGGTTGTTTCTATTTTATTTGTGGATTTATACTCAGTTGTTGTTATTCAGTCACTCAGTCGTGTCCAACTCTTTGCGACCCATGGACTGCAGCATGCCAGGCTTCCCTGTCCTTCACCATCTCCAAGAGCTTGCTCAAACTCATGTCCATTGAGTCAGTGATGCCATCCAACCATCTCATCCTCTGTCATCCCCTTCTCCTCCTGCCTTCTATCTTTCCCAGCATCAGGGTCTTGTCCAGTGAGTCGACTCTTTACATCAGGTGGCCAAAGTATTTATTGGCACTTCAGCTTCAGCATCAGTCCTTCCAATTAATATTCAGGGTTGATTTCCTTTAGGTTTGACTGGCTTGACTTCCTTGCAGTCCAAGGGACTCTCAAGAGTCTTCTCCAACACCACAGTCCAAAAGCATCAATTCTTTGGTGCTCAGACTTTTTTAAGGTCCAGCTCTCACATCCATACATGACTACTAGAAAAATCATAGCTTTGACCATTTGGGCCTTTGTCTGCAAAGTAATGATCTGCTTATTAATACACTATCTAGGTTTGTCACAGCTTTTCTTCCAAGGATCAAGTGTTTTTTAATTTCATGGCAGCCATCATCATCTGCAGTGATTTTGGAGCCAAAGAAAATAAAGCTTTCACTATTTCCATTGTTTCCCTATCTATATGCCATGAAGTGATGGGACCAGATGCCATGATCTTAGCTTTTTGAATGTTCAGTCTTAAACCAGCTTTTTCACTCTCCTTTTTCACCTTCACCAAGAGGCTCTTTAGTTCCTCTTCACTTTTGCTATAAGGGTGGTGTCATCTGCATATCTAAGGTTACTGATATTTCTCCTGGCAATCTTGATTCCAGCTTGGGCTTCATCCAGCCCAGCATTTCCCATGATGTACTCTGCATACAAGTTATATAAACAGGGTGACAGTATACTGCCTTGATGCACTCCTTTCCCAATTTTGAATCAATCTGTTGTTCCATGTTTGGTTTTAACTGTTGCTTATTGACCTGCATACAGATTTCTCAGGAGGTAGGTAAGGTGGTCTGATATTCCCAGTCAAAGGCTTTAGCCTAGTCAGTAAAGCAGAAGTAGATGTTTTCCTGGAACTCTCTTAATTTTTCTATGATCCAGTGGATGTTGGCAATTTGATCTCTGGTTCCTCTGCCCTTTCTAAATCCAGCCTGTACATCTGGAAGTTCCTGGTTCATGTACTGTTGAAGCATAGCTTGAAGGATTTTGAGCATGCCCTTACTAGAATGTGAAATGAGTGCAATTGTGCAGTAGTTTGAATATTCTTTGGCATTGCCTTTCTTTGGGATTGGAATGAAAACTGACCTTTTCCAGTCCTGTGGCCACTGCTGAGTTTTCCAGATTTGCTGGCATATTGAGTATAGCATTTTAACAGTTCTTTTAGGATTTGAAATAGCTCAGCAAGGATTCTATCACCTCCACTAGCTTTGTTTGTAGTGATGCTTCCTAAGGCCCATTTGACTTCACATTCCAGGATATCTGGCTCTAGGTAAGTGATCACACCATCACGGTTATCTGAGTCATTAAGATCTTTTTTGTATATTTATTTTCAGTATCATTTTAGAAAGAATTAAATGCAGTCTAAGGGGCTTACGAGGTGACTCAGTGGTAAAGTATCCTCCTGCCAATGCAAGAGAACTGGGTTCAATCCTTCAGTCAGGATCCCCTGGAGAAGGAAATGGCAACCCACTCCTTGCCTGGGAAAGTATTCTTGCCTGGGAAATCCCATGGATAGAGGAGCCTAATGTGCTATAGTCCTGGGAGTTGCAAAGAGTTAGACATGACTTGGGGACTAAAAACAATATTCAATTACTTCAAGACTGACGTGGCTTATCTAATACATAGGAACAATGGAATAATGAATACAGTAAGCACTCATGCAAAACAAAACCAAAAAGTAACCTGTAGATGAAAGAACAAACCCTAAAAATACTTTCCGTAAGAGCCAAAGTTTCTGACTCTGACTGAGTACAAGGATTTATTCAGTTCTTTTCCCTTTCCTTCCCAGCCTTCCTGATATAATTGACTAGAACATTGTCTAAATGTAAAGTGTACAGTGGATTGATTTTATATACTGCAAAATGATGACCACCATAGCATTAGCTAACACCTCCATCATGTCAAAAAATTAACATTTTTGTGTGACAAGAACATACAATATTAACTCTCTTAGCAACTCTCAAGTTGCTATATATAATATATATGTAATACAGTACTGTTAAATAGTCATCTTGCTGTACATTGGATTCCCAGAACTTTTTCATCTTGTAACTGGAAGTTTGTACCCTTTGACCAACATCAGCATCTCTGAATTTCTTCCACTCCTCAGTCCCGCATAACCACCATTCAATTCTGTTTCTATGAATTGGCTTTTTTAAGAGTTCACATATAAGTATGATTACACAGTATTTGTCTTTGCCTATCTGACTTATTTCACTTGGCATAATGCCCTCAGAGTCTACCCATGTTGCCAAAAATGGTAGGATTTCCTTCTTTCTCATGGGTGAATAGTATTACTTCATGTGTATATACATATATATATATATATATATATATATATATATATATATATACACAAAGACATATATGTCACATGTTCTTTATGCATTCCTAGAAACTTAGGTGGTTTCCATATCTTGGCCAGTGCAATGAACATGGAAGTGCGGCTGTTTGGTTGAGATCATGATTTCATTTCCTTTGGATAAATACCCAGAAGTAGGAATGCTGAATCATACGGTGGTACTATTTTTAATGTTTTGAGGAAGCTCCATATCGATTTCCATAATGGCTGCACCGATTTACATTTCCACCAATTCTGCACAAGGCTTCTTTTTTCTCCATAACCTTATCTCTTACCTCTTGTCCTTTGATGATAAGCATTCTAACAGTTCTGAGGTAAGATCCTATTGTGGTTTTGATTTGCATTTCCCTGATGATTAGTGATGTTGAGAACTTTTTCATTTATCTGTTGGCCATTTTTATGTCTTCTTTGAAAAATGTCTGTTCAGGTCTTCTGACCATTTTTTAATCAGATTATTTGGGACATTTGTCATTAAGTTGTGTGAGTTCTTTATATATTTCAAATATTAACTTCTTGTCATATATATGATTTGCAAATATTTTCCCTAAGTCCACAGGGTGACTTTTCATTTTGTTGGTTGGCCCTTTTGGTATGCGAAAGTTTTTTAGTCTGATGCAGTCCAAGTTGTTTATTTTTGCTTTTGTTGCTTGTGCTTTTACAGTCATATCCAAAATATCATTGCCAAGACGAACGTGAGAGAGATTTTCCCCTGTGGTTTTTCGATCAGTCCTTGACTTGAGGGCCTGAACAAAAGTCCTGTCTGCTTAGTCACTCAGTCATGTCTGACTCTTTGTAGCCCTGTGGACTGTAGCCCACCAGGCTCCTCTGTCTGTGAAATTCTCCAGGCAAGAATACTGGGGTGGGTTGCCATTTCGTCCTCCAGAGGATCTTCTAGACCCAGGGATCAAACCCTCATCTCCTGAATTGCAGGCAGATTCTTTGCCCACTGAGCCATTGTGGACAAAAGTCAGAATATCAGAAAATGAATGTTCTCCCTGTTTTCCCAATACACACTGCCCATACATTTTTCAATCTTACTCTTGTAGTTTACAAAAAATATTCATTTTAATCCCGAAGATGAATCTATCAGAGGCGGCTGTGAAATTATATTCTTATTGACAGAGAGGTTTTATCCCAGGAAAATAAGAAGGAAAATGACACAAACATAGAGTTAGTAGTAAAAGAGTTTCTAGAATAATGAAGAACCAGGTAGAATCCCTGCAGTTGAATGTGAGATGATTGAAAAAAAAACCTTGCCTTTAGCTCCCCTCTCTCCTGCTCACAGTCACCAAGTCCCTAAAGAAGAATGTTTGCTCCACTCATAGGAGAGGATCTTTAAGGCAGTGAACACACTCTATTTTAGGAAAAGTGACCTCTAGGTTTGCAGGGCAGCCCCTAAGAAAAGTGCTACTCAAATTCTCTTTTAAAAGCACATTTATTGGTGCTCCCTTTGGTGGCACATACACTAAAATTAGAACAATAGAGAGAAGATTAGCACGGCCCCTGTGCAAAATGACATGCAAATTCATGAAGCATTGCATATTTTTTAAAAAATAAATAAAAGCAGATGTATTGAGCGTTAGCTTGTTTTACCTTTCAGTTAAAAGGTAATAGATGTTTAGCATAGAACTTTCGGAAAGCAAAGAAAGATTACAGATGAGTTAAAAGTGGAAATCCACTTATGTATCATTTGCTCCTGCGTCCCTGGTTCTTAGAAGGAACTGCAAGAAAGCATGTACCCTACAAGAGGCTAGAGATGGATTTAGGCAGAAGCAAACCATTGTTGTGTTGGCCTCCAGCTTTGAGGCACCGATAGCCAATGTAGATGCCTCAGGTGTTTGAGAAAGAAGCTCCCAAAAGAATTGGGCTCTGGGTTCCCACCCTGACTGTACAACTTCTGTGTGATTTAGGAAAGTTACTTAATCTTCTGTAACTCAGTTTCCATATCGGTGGATGTTTTTTATCCACGTCGTGAAGTTGCGAGGATTAAGTAAAACAATACGTGCGAAGTAGCAAGGATGGTGGCTGGGACACTGTAGATACCACATTAGCACTAAGTTGTAGTGGTTTTCCTGGTCATAGTAGTTACAGTTTCCATCTCAATTCATAATAAACTCGTGAACCTTGGCTTCTCTTTCCTGGTTGTCTCCTCATTAAGGAAAAACTACGCCAACTACGAGATTGCATTGTTGGGAAAAGGCCGGAAGAAGAAAATGTCTACAGTAAGTAAAATTTGCCTGCTCTTCAAAAATAATAGAGTGATGAAGTGGAAAAAGCAAGGATGGTGAAGTAAAACAGGCCTGAGTTCAAATTTATATCCAGTCACTTCCTAGCTGCTTAAATTGGAGAATGTCTTACTCCTTGGTACTCAGGGTCCTTATTTGCAAAACAAGAATAATTATACATATACCTGGAAGTGGTTTTACAAGTTAACACATAAAATACTTTTCACCTCCTCTGGCCCATAATGTAAATGCTAGTTACTTCCTTTCCTTTGATTTCCATATAAGTTGCAAATAAGATAATTCTGCTTTAGTTTTGTGTGTGTGTGTGTATAAGTCTCAGTACAGGGTATTAAATTGCTAAAGAGTCACACTTTTTTTTAATAAGGTAGAATATTCTCAATATAGTCAATTCTCACAGTTGTCCACATGTGGATCATTTTAAATTATAAATCTCATGTTGCCTTCCCCTGAAGCTAGCATGCTTCTTCTCAACACAGATTCCTCTTGCTAATAATTAGCAGTTGCTCCCAGGGGGAAAAAAGTCATTTTAATGTTAACACAACCCAAACATTATTAAGATGGTAAATCTTCTCCAAAGATAAACAATGCATTCCAAAATTGAAAATAAATTATGTTGTCATTCTCTGACCACCCTATTCCCAAGTCCCTACTCCTGCATAGATAATTAAAAACTGACAACCACTAGTAAAGTTTGAAAGCCTCCATCTCTTCCATTTTCAATAATACTGCATAACTTTTAGATAGTACTTCATGGTGAAATTCACTATGTTAAAATTCATTTTCTTTTTATATTATTGGATTGTTATCTACTTCTTCATAGAGAATTCTTTAAGCTCTCTTAGAAATGTTTTCTAAAACATAAATATACTTTCTAAAATAATTAAGGTCCTAAACACAAAACTAATTTACAAATAACTGAGTTCTACAAACCTACATTCTAATGTGGAATAAGAGTAAAATTTTTTAATATATAAAATTATAAAATATATAAATAATTTCACTAAGGAACATTAAATAGTAGTAGCTCATATTTATTGTCTTATCTACTATGCACAAGATTATCCGATTAATAACCCTTTGAGATAGGCATTAGTCCCAATTTATAATAAGGAAACTGAGAATCTGAGAAACTAAGAAGCCTCTAAACACACAGATTAGAGATTATAGCCCATGTCTATTGGAATCCAAAGTTAACACTCTTAATCGTTGGTGTCTTAATTAGGAATCAACTAGTTCTTCTTTCAGCTAAAATGGAATAAGCAGTACCAGACAAACCCTCCCACTGTAAGGATACAAATAATAGGCAAAAAAAATATGAAGCAACTGATTTCAGGGAGTAAATGATAGGCAGACTAAGACTGTAATCCTAGAGAAAAACAAAGTATATGAGATGTCTCTCACCCTCACCCACAAGATGATTTTCTGACTACAGTCTGTGCAAAGCAGTCAAACTGAGGTGGCAAAGATCAGAGTTCAGGGCAGCGAGAGCTGCTGGAATGTGTGTGGTGGGTCACCGAAGGGGAGGTGGCCGTGAAGAGAGGTGGCCTCGGAGGGAGGAGGGACTCCACAAGTCTGGCTCAGAGATGAGCTGTACTGAACGTGTGCAGACAAGACCCCTGGAAGCATGTAAGATAGCAGCTTTAGGGCTGTGAAGGCAGAACAGACACGCTGAAGGTTGGCCAGAGCCAGGGCAAAGCCAAACTGGGAATGTTTGTTTGAGTCCTGCCCTGCCAGAGAGGAAAGGTCTCCTAACACTTTGTTAAAATGCCTGGTATCCTGCTGTGACACCCAAGAGGTGGAAAGAGTAAGGGCCATGACTTAGAGTAAGACCTACTCTAGACTTGCCCCAGCAAAGCCTAGAACCGAACTCCTACCAGAGTCCGGTGGAAAATGGAATTTGTAGGCTTAGTCTTACTGTTGTTGCTGTTTAGTGGCTAAGTCGTGTCTGACTCTTTTGCCACCCCCATTTCCTAGGCAAGAATACTGGAGTGAGTTGCCATTTCCTTCTCTAGGGGCTCTTCCCAACCCAGGAATCGAACCCACATCTCCTGCATTGTAGGCAGATTTTTTTTAACTGCTGAGTCATCAGGGAAGTTCTACTGAGAGTCTTAGCAAATATCTTAAGCTTTGTATAGGTCAACACTGAAAAAAAGGAGAAAACCAAGCCTACCACAGGTTCATGACAGTAATCAAACTGCCGGTAAGACAAGAACATATATTCATCAAAGGAATATAGAATATGAGTATGAATACAGAATCCAGAATATGCTACAGATTATCTTTAAAATCAAGTATTCAGGCTTTTTTTTTTTAATGAGGTACAAATAAAAAGAAAATGAAATTCACAGAAAAGAAAAAAGAAAGCATCAATAAAAACTGAACATGAGATAGTCCTTTTGTTGACCTTAACAAAATTAATGAAAAATATGGTTTTAAAGAGTGAATAAATATGAAATTTCAACAGGATAATTGAAACTATATAGAAGAACCAGATGGAAATTTATAGAAATTAAAATTACAATAAAAGAAATGAAAAATTTATCAGAAGAACTTATCAGCAGATTGGATATGGCAAAAGTAAGAGTTAATCAACTTAAAGACAGATCAATAGAAGTTATCCAATATGATGAAAAAGGAGATAAAAAAACTTAAAAATGAATGGAACCTCGAGACATGTAGGACATAACACAGTCTAGCATGCATGTAGTCAGAGTCCCAGAGGAAAAACTAGTGACTTGGGGCAAAACATTTTAAAATAAATAATGGTCAGATATTTTCCAAATTCAATGTAAACTACCTCCATACTGTTCCAAGAACATTAAAAAAAACTCCAGTTAGCCTGTTAAGCTGAACTATATTTGAGCACTTGTGGTCAGGCTACTTCAGTCAAGGTAAATTCTTGATAGCATCCAGAGAAAAAGACATATATCAAAAGAAAAGCATAAATGTATTCCATATTCACTAATTTCTTGTCAGAAACATGGAGGACTAAAGACAATAATATCTTTGCAATAATATCTTTGAAAGTGCTAAAATAAAAACAAATGACCACTTAGAATTGTATATCCAGGGAAAATAACCTTCAAAAATTTGTTGAAACTGAGACATTTTCAGATAATTGAAATCAGAGAATTCATAGACAGGAAAATTGCAATGTAAGAAATGCTAAAGAATGTCATACAAGGTGTATGAATTGTACTGTATGTAATTATTTCTGAATGAGGTTTTTTTTAAATACTTGAATAGCTCAGGCTAAAAGAATATCAAGGCTGAGTAGGAAGCTATTATTAAACGTCAGATATATCTAAAATCGTGATAATGTGGGCCAAACATCGGGAGGAAAAAAAGACATAGTTTCTTTCACACTTAGTGATAAAAGTAATAAAAGACATAGTTACACACTTAGTGGCCGGAGGTATTTTTTTAAATCAGACTGTGAAACTTCAGTCATCTGAAGACAAGAAGTAGTCAAATGATAAGAATAAAGGACCCTAAGATAAATATGAAACAAAACTCAGTAGAATGTGCTTTTCTTTTTTGTCTTGTAGATAAGCTCACCATTGTGCACCATCCAAATGGTAAGTGGTGTTTATTGAAGAATTTAGGACTAAAACAAAGCCCAGAATAAGCCAACTTTTATATCAATGTAAACTCACAGAGATTTTATATGTAAAAGAATTTGATATCCAAAATAAATGTGAGGTGATTCTAGAATCTCAATGCTAGAGGTATTGTGATATGGTAAAAGGAGCGTGCACTTTGAACTCTGACTTGGCTGTTCAAACTTAACTAGCTGTGACCTTTGGCAAGTCACTTAAACTCTTTACGCCTCCATTCCCTCATACGTAGAATATAGATAAGAATTCTATCATGGGGAATTGCTATAATAACTAATGATGACTGATGTAAATGGCATTAACTTGGTAAGTGGGAAACGTTGATAGAGCAAATGAACTTAGAATAAAACTTAATAGTTGGAAGGGTTCACTTTAGTGTGATGAGAGAGAAATGTGTGCAGAAAGTGGGGAGGGCAGAGAGGAGCTGCAGGCCAGCTGGGAGTTGTCTAAAGAGCTGTGAGCTCTGCCCCGAGCCTGAAGCAAGGCAGACTGTGGGAACTGCAGAAGCAATAGAACAAAGTGTGTGGCTTGATGGAAAGTCAGAAACTTGTGATAGAAGCAGGAAGTGGCATGGGCCACAGTGCAGTGGTAGGAGCAAACTTGTTAAAAAATGTGCTTTGCAATTACCTGATCCTGGTAAATGGGGAAGAGAAGAAGGCAAAATCAAGTGGAGGTTGTTATTCATGGTGTTGGATAGTTTCTGGGCTCATCATCTCCTCAGCATGTGGGTATGAGAAATTAATACATTAAATATTAATACAAATTAATACATAATTGCCAAGGATGCCTTTTCAATATACACATGTTATCTCTTTAGTGTTTTTTATCTTTACCCACATCCTACTCTTTGCATATATATTTTTTAAATGCTGAATAAAGGAATTATTAAATTTGTGAATGAGTAAAGAGTTAGTAACAGAGTTTGTATTTCTAGGTAACGAAAGTGCCCACAGTGAAAGTATGTTATATAACATACCCTTTGGCAGTAAGGTGGGTTGTATTTATCTTCATTTTTATAAAATACATACAAGTTATTTGTTGAGAAAGAAGGTGAAAGCCTTCTACCCTGACTATGCTTTGAAACATTCCAACAGATACGAACTAAATAGGTTACATACACATTTGTGTGCAAAATACACGAGCAGTAATTTTAAAAACATAGCTATTTGGAAAAAAGGGAAAAAAGAACTCAAAGGAGAAAGGCACTGAAGCTAACGTGTGCACAAACATGTACAGACCAAATAAATTGTAGAGGAGCTATAAACACATCTTTAGCAAAAGGAATATGATGAGTCTATTTGACCCACAGTTTATATAATCCTTGAAATCTAGTTTTAGGAAAAAATATGTGAAAATATTGTTCATATAAATATGTGTTGCTTCACTTTGTAGTGTTAACTGAAAGTAAGTTGCTAATGAAAAGCTAAAAATAACCCTAAAGAAAGAGGGTGCAAATGGACAAGCCAAGACCAATTCAAGACAATATCCTTGATGTCCTGACCACACACTTTTCTTCATAAAAAATTGTACTATTCCAACTATCTACATATGTGATGTAGGAAATTTGCACTATTACCCAAGAACATGTGGCAGCTGGATTTCTTGCTAAAATCCTGAGTTAGGGCCCATAACAAACTAGTTTTTGTTTACCAAATTTCGATAACCCTTTAAGTTCTCCCATCCTTCAATACATCATAACATAAGAGTTATGTTATGTTAAATACATAAACACAAAAGTCATTCACTCTTAAGAACTGCTTGAAGTATTTACATTTCTGGATCATCCTGTGGCCCACCGGTGAGCTATAGACTGAATGGGTCTGTAGCACATAGACTCATGAGACCAATTCGACTGTCGCAGAATTGTGAGGTACCATCTAGCTCAGGAGTTTATGCAAATATCTTTGTCAAGCAAAGTTCCTTCTACAAGATCTGAAGGACTATTTTAAGAGCAAGCTTTTGGGTAAGAGGAAAATAATATAAATTCCCAACACTTATTCTCCCTCAAAAAGGAACTAAAACTTAAAAAGGACATTGACGTGGTTGAACTTGACAGTGATTCTTTCCTTTTAAGATGGAGGACTCTCTTGCCAGTTGCCTCTGCAAAGATGTTCTCAGCTGACTGCGAAAGGCAACTATGACTTTGTCATGTTTCTTTGTTCACCCTTAAAATGGAGAAATGCTAACTCTGTGTATTTTTTCCTTAGCTTCCTGTTCGACCCCAGGTGGAAAAAGATTTTGGTTTCTGTTGCAGGAAAGATCACTAAAGATGGTAAAATATCAGCTATATATCAACCATATTTTTTAGAAAACCTAAAGCAGGCTTATTAGGAACTTGAAAGATCATTTGTCTAACAAATGGAATACCTTAAATATTTCATTGTCTTCTCCTGAAAGGATAAACATGTGTATTTTTCAAGCTAAAGGTGATTGTTCCTTAGAAAGATTTATATGTAGGGGTGATTTTATACTAGCTAATCAATTTCAGTTGATGATTATTCTCTAATACATTTCCAACGATCTTATTTTCAGGTTATTATAATGAAACTCAAGAATCTACAGACACTTTCTGGGTGAAGCAAGCTTGCATTTGGATTGCCTGCTGTCTTAGGACAAATCTTTGCTATGAAAGCAGAAGCAAGTTTTGAATTTCAGAATGTTACTGCCACAATTTATTGGCATTGTACCTGCTTCAAATGAGCATATCAAGATTAAGTTTGAATGCTATAGAGCAGTTGCATTCTTTGAAAATTCTTGCATTTTACCAGGCACTTTGCCTGTGAAGCAGGTATTTCCAATTTTTAAAATTAAAAACAAGAGCAGAGAAGTTAAATGCTCTGTAGCAAAGTTATTGGGCCTATTTAAGGGTTAACCTTATAGTTTACTCCTCCTACACTGAGAATAAACATAGAAAAATACAAGCATGTTTTATACATATCGGTTTTTCCAGTAGATAATCTATTTTCTGAATTTCTCATGTTCAAAACTCTAATTGTTATTATCAGATCGTGCTTACAGCAACCTTCCATTTTTCAGAACCTGTTTGCATATAACCTTGAGAATATTATTTTTTTAACTTTCTATATCTCAAATTAACATACATTTTCACAACCTATATTCTCTATTAACAGGCTTACAATTTCATCAACCAATTTCTTAGAAGCAATTTATGAGCTTAAAATAGAATGCAGTTTTACCATTCTATGATTTCTGCCCACAGTTGCTACAAATAAAATGAATGTTTAAAGCTGTGTCTGACTTCTCAAAACAAATGTATGAAATTAACCTCTGAAGTCTTCTGCTTACTAGTTTACAGAGAGAATTCCACCAAGTTTTTTTTTAATAATTTCACTGTGTAGGGCTCATAAAATAAACACACAAATTATTTTTTACTGGCTTCTCAACAGTGAGTGATAGGAATATCCAGTATTGTAAAGTAATTAGCCTCCAATTAAAATAAATTAATTAATTTTTTAAAATACATGCATACTATATATACTTAATACATACAGTAATGGAAATTTTAAATACATGTAACCACCATTCCTAATGTGATTTATAAGAAAAAAATGGAATTCAATAAACAATTTAGGATAAAAAAATAATAAGTGATTCTGCAAAACACTGCCCATAAGTTTCTCATGACCATTAACACTCTCAAACTCAGGTTTTAAAAAATAATATAGTTGTTTGATCAGTCCCTAATAGGAGGTGATTTTTTATTATGACAATTGGAAATTCAGTTCATAGTTTCACATTTAAGTTTTCAAGAAATGGAATGCTCCCATTTGGTGCCTCAGATGGTAAAGAATCCACCTGCAATGCAGGAGACCCGGGTTCGATCCGTAGGTTGGGAAGATCCCCTGGAGAAGGGAATGGCTATCCACTCCAGTATTCTGGCCTGGAGAATTCCGTGGACAGAGGAGCTTGGCAGGCTACAGTCCATGGGTTCACAGTGAGTCAGACACAACTGAGCAACTTTCATTTTCATTTCTGTGGATTGTCCCACCCAGAGAGTCAGGAAAAGCAATAGGAAAATTGACTGCTTTTCTGTAATTTCTCAGTCTGTAAAATTCAAGTGTGTCTGTTATCTCTATTGGGCTTCCCCGATAGCTCAGCAGGTAAACAATCCTCCTGCAGTGCTGGAGACACAAGCTCAATCCCTGGATTGGAGAGATCCCCAACCCGCTCCAGTATTCTTGCCTGGGAAATTCCATGAACAGAGGAGCCTCGTGGGCTACAGTCCATGGGGTCACAAAGAGTTGGACACAACTGAGTGCTAACATGCTCTGTATCTCTAAAGTGAGAATTTCCACAGGCCTGTGACTACTGTGTACAGTTCTACTCTCGACTTTATTCTTATTAAAAATGTGAAATCCAGTAACAGGTAAAATGTCAACTCTTCTAATTACAAAGGGACTAGATCATTTCTTACCTGAGACTCTATTAAGGGTGGAAGTGGGAGTTAAAGCATGAATGTTATTCAGTCTTTGAACATAGAAAGAAATTTAAAGTCAGGACGTGTAAGTCTACCTTCTGAACTGGGCTAATTTAGAATGAAACGATAGGAAAAAGACCTTCAATCATCTCTTCCCTAGAGTTCTAGCCCTTGAAATTTTTTGACTTTGTCATCAGAAAGAAAGGGAGAAAAAGAAACCTAAAAATACTGAGGTCCCCAGTACTCCTCCTAAGCCATGGATCCTTCCCTGCTTGACCTCCTGGGGCTCCCCAAGTGGCATTCGTGGTAAAGAATCCACCTACCAGTGCAGGAGACACAAGAGACTCGGGTTTGATCCCTCGGTTGGGAAGATCCCCTGGAGGAGGAAGTGGCAACAACTCCAGTATTCCTGCCTGGAAAATTCCATAGACAGAGGAGCCAGGTGGGCTGCAATCCAAGGGGTCACACAGAGTTGGACACAACTGAGCACAGAAGAGAGTTTAGAATCAGGGGCTCAGAAAGGAGTTCACATCATGCCTGTGGCGTGGAAGGGAGAGGTGAAAAGTGGAGAAATGCCAAAGCAGACGAAGGGTAATCCAGATTTCGGAAAGATCCCAACTGAATCCACAGGCTCTTCATTGGCACGTGGGCTTCCCTAGTTGTGACATGCAGTCTTAGTAGCCCTGAAGCATATGGGATCTTAGTTCCTAACCCAGGGATCCAACCCACATCCCCTGCTCTGGAAGGTGGATTCTTAACCACTGGATCACCAGGGAAGTTCCAGGGGCTACATTTTTAATTTCTGGGCTTTATCCCTAACGTACAGAATGCTCTCCGTCAAATCTGAGTCACATTACAGAAGCTTTTTTTCGTGGTGGAAGAGATCAGATATCTAGACTAGTAAACTCAGTTCAGTTCAGTCGCTCAGTTGTGTCCGACTCTTTGCGACCCCATGAATCACAGCACACCAGGCCTCCCTGTCCATCACCAACTCCCAGAGTTTACTCAAGCTCATATCCATCGAGTCAGTGATGCCATCCAGCCATCTCATCCTCTGTCGTCCCCTTCTCCTCCTGCCCCCAATCCCTCCCAGCATCAGGGTCTTTTCCAACGAGTCAACACTTCGCATGAGGTGGCCAAAGTATTGGAGTTTCAGTTTCAGCATCACTCCTTCCAATGTACACCCAGGACTGATGTCCTTTAGGATGGACTGGTTGGATCTCCTTGCAGTCCAAGGGACTCTCAAGAGTCTTCTCCAACACCACAGTTCAAAAACATCAATTCTTCAGTGTTCAGCTTTCTTCACAGTCCAACTCTTACATCCATACATGACCACTGGAAAAACCATAGCCTTGACCAGATGGACTTTGTTGGCAAAGTAACGTCTCTGCTTTTTATTTTTTTATTTTTTTTTCTCTGCTTTTTAATATGCTATCTAGGTTGGTCATAACTTTCCTTCCAAGGAGTAAGTGTCTTTTAATTTCATGGCTGCAATCACCATCTGCAGACTAGTAGACTAGGAAGTTATAAACTTTCCTTGGTGATTTCAGGCATTTGTTTAAGAGCCCTAGTCACTACCAGGAAGGGAAGACCTGCATGGGAAATCTGATGATTTTGTGCCAATTCTGGAAGCCTGAGCAACCAGTAACTAACACACCCTACTTTTCCCATCATCCCTTCCTCAGTTTGGATTCATTCCTAAGTCATTGCTCTTAATGTACACAAGAACTAGCCCCTCCCTCAAGTTTTTAAATTTATTTGACTCCAACTTCTAGAGAAATCTGGATTGAAATTAAATGTTATCATAAGAATTTTACATTTAATATTCACTTCTTTTCTACTTAGTTTTCTGGTTTAAAAAAGCATCATCTAGACAAGGGCTTCTCACCTGGGGCATTTGGCAATATCTGGAGACATTTTCATTGCCGTAACTGTGGAGAAGGTGCTCTTGGCATGTAGGGTTTTGAGACAAGGGTCGCTAATAAGTATGCTATAATCCACAAGACAAAGAATTATCCCATCCAGAATATCAACAGTGCAAGATTGGGAAACTCTAATCTACACTATAAAGTAAAATGGAATGTTGTTAAAAGTAAAAACAGTTAATTTTATATGGAATTTTCTGGAAGTGGAACCCCCATGATAGTATAAATCAATGTTTTTATTTTGAAGTACATATGGCATAACTTAAATGGACCATTAAAAACTCAAAAAAATGGATGACTCTAATACATTTTCATAAATCAAACAGATTATTCTACCAGGGGAGACTCCAGTTTTTAGAAAAAAAACTGTTCTCAGTATTGTTCTAATGAAAATGACCTTGTAACTTGAATCACGATTATATCCTATTCGTGCTCTTAAGTATTTGCTCACCTGAGTTCCTTCTTATAATGCTCAGGAGGTCTGATTTTAATAACTTGGACTTCCCTGAATTTTTATGCTTAGAAAAGCATATTGCTTTTCTAAATTGGTAAATATTTCGGAAAGTAGTCTGCTCCTGAACCTGATCTAGTAGCTCTCAGCCAATTAACACAGGGCTGGTATGAGACCCTACTTGCTGTCTTTCCGTAACTGTACCTGCCAACCATACTTGTTGGCCTGCCTTATTTTGTGAGGCTGACAAGGGCTGCCACACAAAAGACAGCACAAGCAAGATTCTAAATACAATAGACTTGGAACATCTCTGGTGGTCCAATGGTTAGGACTCCCCACTTCTGCTGCTCAGGGCATGGGTTCAATCCCTCGTCAGGGAGATCCTGGAGCTCTCACAAGCTGTGCAGTGGGGCCAATAAATAAATAGGCCTCAAATTTATAAATTACAGCATA